TTAAAGGACCAGAACATTACTCTGAAATCTTTACGTGGTGACATTTCACGGCTAGAAAATGAGAAACTGCAGCTACAGGAAAAGCTAGAACAGTTAAATTCTGAAATCGTACAAACAAGACAAGATGGAAAGACGTTTTCCGATCCGCTTAGGGAAGTGGTTTACCACTGTTTCTCAAAGAATGTAGCAGTTGAAAACATTGAAAGTGTGGTGAAATTCTCTTTGCATAAACTAGCAGGGAAGTGTCTTAGTGATTTCCCATCACTGACAACCTGCACAAACATTGTTCGGGAGATGGACAGTATCTCAAAAATGCATATCAGTGAGGAACTTGCCCGTGCGTCCGATACAACAGTGAAGTTTGACGGCACCACAAAAGCAAAGACTCATTGGGTCGAATCACAAATTGCTACTGCAGAGCAGACCTTCACTGTTAGTCTGAGAAAAACTGTTGATGGCACAGCTGCAACGTACTGCAATACGATCAAGGAGAGTATTGATGCTCTTGGTAAGCAGACAGAATTACGTGATGGTACAAACAATGCAGACAACATTTTGTGTGACATAAGAAACTCGATGACTGACCGATGCATTGTGAACACGGCTGCTATGGCAAAGTTGTCGGAAGAAAAAACAAAAACTAATCCTGATGCACCACCTATTCGAACATTCTTCTGTGGAGTCCACCCGTTGGATAGTTTTGCCAAAACAAGTGACACGGCTCTTAAGAATTACGAGGAGGAGGCTGGAGTCAAAGCCAATGCATTCGTTCATCGCTCCCAAAGTTTGACAACTGCACTGATCTATGCCATTGCAAAGATGTTCCATAAGGATGGGTCAGGTGTTCCCGTTGAAATCAAGGCATATCTTGAAGGCCAAGGTGTTGAGGGTAACCTGGTGCACTATTATGTTGGCGAGCGCTTCCATATACTCTTTCACAATGCCGGTAGCGTGTTTTACTTGTGGGATATGCTTTCGGGTTTCATCGAGAAGGTATGGGGCGCCCCCAACCGTCTCCTCCAAGCAATCCAGAAGGACTTGAAAGTGGATTGTTTGAAGGTTGGATGTCGGGCTCTTGGCATTATTGGAAAACTATTCACTGCGCCTTGGCTTCGATACACAATGGTTGAGCGTCCTGTGGTCGAACTTGGGCCTTTTTACTGTGAGGCTGAAGCTAAACTGGAACTATGGGGTAGTGATGCTACTTCCTTGATGCTTGGCGAATCTAGGTTGGGGGAGGTTCACCTACAAGGTGACAAAGTTCTCAGTGCCTTAACAGCTCCACACGTGACTGACGCTGCAACAAAGGTTATCCTTGAGAAGATTTGCTCTGCAATGTTAGTTGTACTACGTCGCCAGTGTGCAGACCAGCTTCCTGGTGGGGTGTATCACCAGCCTAGCTCCGATATCGTCGCTTCCACAGCATCGTGTTCTGCCAACAACATTAGTGGCGAGAGGATTTTCGGGATGTTGGATGCTTCCATCAGAAGGGCACCTATTGCCAGAATGGACGTGCACGAGGGTAAAATCCTCTACATAGTGAACAAGACTAGTGCATGGTTAGAAAGGCAAGGTGAATTGGAGAAAACGAACATCCTGTCAGTTGCAAGAAAAAGTGCCCGGGAGCAAAGGAAAAATAGTAAAGCGTACGAAAACGCAGTTAAGCACATGCAGATAGAAAAACTGAAGAAGAAGGAGGCAGAGAAAGCACTGAAGGAAGAAGTACAGCGAGAGAGCAAGGAGAACATGTTGAATGACATTTTTAAATGTGGGGGTCTGTGGCAAACGGTTGACGATATGGATGACGTCTTAGCTTCTATTAAATCGAAACCTTGTCAACTGAATGCAGTGAAGGCACAGATTCGTGTTAGGAAATCCATTCTTGCTCAGAAGGCTGAAACCACTCTGTTTGCATTTTCTGCCAAGCAGAAAGTACATTCATTCGAAACTCTCAAGCAGAACTTGTCCCAGCTCATAACCCGGACTCTTCCAGAGAACACTCTACTAACTGCTTGTGTGATGGACCCCACTGTTCTTGTTGGGAGGAAAGTCACACATGCTTGGTATGAAGATGGTGGAACCACTTGGTATGAGGGAACAATACTTAGGATTGTTGAGGAGTCCAACGAGTATCAAGTCGAATATGCCAGTGGAGAAACTGCATTCTTGGAATTTGACGAGATAATTACGGACTTAAGGAATGGAGATCTGGAAGTTCTGTGAATAAATTTCCTGTTTGAGAATATTTGGTGGGTATTGAAGCTATAAGACATGTAAAACTGTTTGTATGCCAGGGATCTAAAATAAAATCAGAACTTCATGAGTTTTTCTATTCATGTTGCCCTGGCGAAGATTCTGCTCCGAATGGGAAATTTTAGAAATTTGTTAATAGTAGGAAGATGAGCTCATATATAAATAAGGGATGCTCTATTGTCTTGAAATGCCCATACATCTGATAGCAGAATCAATACTCTTTAATTTGCTCTTTAAATTGAAAAGATATTCCAACTATTCGCGAAGATATTGCATTTATTGTGGCGCGCGCTCGTTGCGCTCAGATTCGCCGGAAGTCACGCTTTGTTTTAACATTTAACCTGATTTAATAAAGAACTTAATTGCCGTTTCTTCAAATCTTATTTTTTTCATAACTCTGGACATAGAAAAGATAAAATGGAAAAGTAAACTGTTCTGAGAAGCTTATGATGAGTAGAATCTAATTAACTAATCAGCTTTGTAAAATATTGAACATTGAAACTTTTTGTGTAGACCCTAGTGTTACGCCGTCGGCGTCGCTGGCACAGCTAGGCACTTGGAAATAAAATGTGCATTGATCATTTGATGGTAAATAAACACGAAATGTATATATACTACCAAAGTCTTAATGTTTTTCTGCTCTCGTTCGCCTATTATTGCCGATAATTTCTTGTAAATGCCATTCAAATTCTCCTCTGCAACACACAGGTACACCAAACGCACACCGCTGTGCACAAACAACAAAAATAAAGTCTTAAAAGTTGAAGAGCACTGAGCAGGTGGGAAAGCCATGATCGCAAAATTGGCACGGTGCTCGCTTCGTCGCCAACTATCACAGCACAAATACACCAACAACAGCCTCGATTTTGGTATCTATGCGTAGCTATATGTTCACATTCCAATTATAACTCTGCGTTTTGGTACTGCCTACTGAGGGAGTGAGGCTACTCCAGCCAGAGATATCTTGTGAATTCCTGTGGAAAACTCCCACTCTGCCAAAATGTAAATGGGAGGAAGTGCCTGTTTATCATCCGAAACTCCCTAACCACGCTACTCGATAGTTTTGTCCAATAAAGGTAGTCATGTATGTGACATATCATTCCCGCACGCATTATGATAACATAACTCATTTAGACATTTATGAACAATAACTTGGCGCTAGCTCCCAAGTCAACATTAGGTCAATTTCAATATCCCAAAAAAACGTTACCTGCTCCGCGAGGATCTGTCTCTACTTTTATCTCTATTGTTACTCGCTTGAGCCCTAGTTTTCGACCTGCTTCGACTACGAGATCGATGACGATGCTTCCTCCTATGCGTCTTGGCACGACTGCTTGGACTTCTGCTCTTACCCATACCAAGTAGTAACTTACGTATGTTCTTATAGTATCACCTACTAAAAATGCCCAACAACAATATAGAGTTCGTTTCGATTACTCGAATGTAATATATATTGTGAATTGAAACAGACATTGACATGGAAAACGTAGTAACCGACAATAATGGCGAACACCACTATTCCTTCTTCGCGACAGATGCGCCACGAATGGTAGCGGCAGTCATTTTCAGTCTTTTATCATTTATATTTATATATTTTATCAACTAACGATATAATTGGCGATCTTAATTGTCAACACTAAATATATTATGGTGTTATTTACTTACTTAGCTTCAGAAAACATATCTGATAAACTTACTTATTTATATAGCTATCATCATCATCTCATCAAATGTACTTTCAGGCTTTGGAAAAAACAAATTTATTTATTTTATTTATTTAAAGACGGTACATTGGTAGCCGATATATCAACATGAGCTTGCGAGCTCATCACCGGCAGTGCAATAAAAGGATACAATTCTTAGTGCCAGTCTAACAAAGTAACAAACAAGGGTGACAGGGCAGCTAGCCTACGTACCCCCAAAGATACTATAGGGTCTTTGATACCCCTTACTAAAAATTAAATCGCGGACACTATGTTATAAACATAGATATCATATAACACGTATAATATGACACGTATATAACGTAATATAGCGTATGCAAATATGTTTATACGTACGTAATAAACGTATGTCGTATATACGTTATAACCTAACCTCATAACCTCATAACGTTAATAACGCTTAATAACGTTAAACACGTATATCATATAACACGTTATATGATATCGTATTATTACCATGTGCTCCTTGTTGGTCTGAGCTCGACGATGAATTGCAATCTGCCGTTGAGAGCTTTCTCACAAACGACCTACTTATGCGGCACATAATGACAGTCATGGTTTTACAAGCAGTGTTCAGATGACATTTATATATATGGTTATAACATTGTACAAGGGAAAATTGGACGTAAAAATCATATCAGAAATCAAATCTAATCAAATTGATTATATCAGGGTTAAACATAATGACGTTGTCTTTTTCTAATGGTTTGTCATCATTGAAAATAACTCCTGATAATTTCATAGCTACCCTTTACCTATGAAGATAATATTAATTTGACCAATATCACATTCCTGATCTATCTTGTACTCGGCATGCCTCTCATATGCATCCATGTACAAGATCATGTATATAAAAAGGAGGGAGTCGGGAGAGAAATAGAAAGGGGTGAGGGATGGGGACAGATATAGAGAGAGAGGGAGAGAGACATGCAAAGCATGATAGATGATGAGATGAAGAGAGCGAGGGTGTGGGAAGGGGGGAGATGGAGGTACGTATCACCATATAAAATAAAAATAGTGACGTTGGTTTTGTTGAGAAGCTAATATTTATTTTGTCCACTGAATGAATATACAGGTTCATTAGAGAAGGTAATTTACAGAGCAGCCACCATCTTACGATCAACAAAAAGATGGGGGCATGCAATTTGCACAATTAATGGCGATTGTTATACGCCCTTTACACAAATGCGTGCATCGATGGAACTCAGCACTAGAAGCACAGTAATGTGTATTGCAAATGTAAAGATGTTTCACTACACACAGCTGAAAGCGTCATTTTGAACAATACGTTCACCGCACCGAATCGCCTGCAGTCATGTGAATGCGTAACAGCAAAGAACATGTAACTGATATAAACAAGAGCTAAAAATACATGTATTATTAGCTCTAGAAATTAACTACAGGGCCTTTGGTAACAGGATCACGCATTTTGCACATGCTGCCTTTTCTGTCCGCAACGTACATTATTTGATCCTATTTAAATTTTTGACAATGCGTCGCCGACGATACGCATCTTCTCGTGTTCCCTATATCCCTTACCACGCACACAGGCGTTTGGTAGAAGAAACTCATTTAGAACTGGCACCAGATATTCGTAAACCGAGCTACATGCTGAATACTGAATACATTAAACGTGAGATAACATGGGAAGGGTGCCTGAAACCAATCTGTTAAGCTCCATTATCAACACCTCCATTCAGATACCGCAATGCATCAGCAACGTTCAACCATACCTGTTATACTAGTTTAATGAATCCCCCATTCTGTCCCATTATTAGTACTATGAATTAGTAGCACGATTTTACCCAGCGCAGCGGGTACCCGCAGCTAGTATGCTTATACACATGGCCTTCCTTCCTAGAATCTGTCGAAAGAATTTCGGGCAGGGAATTCTACACCAAAGGTATAAACGGATGGGTCACGAATTTAGACAAACTCGGCATTCTTGTAGCATTGCTAGCTATCAAACAGTTATAAACACTGAGAACAAACAATACAGGAGCCCCAAGAGCGTAGTTAATCCATTTTGCCTGGGGTGGGGGCAAAACTACGTGTGGTTTGCGTTCTGGGAAAGTTACCGTCATTAATTCTGTAATTTATCTGCACTTCTCGGGGGGGGGATTGCCTCCTTGCCCCCGCAAGCTACGGCCATGAACCTATAAAGCACAAATATAATAAAGACTGCAGTGAAACTGTCCATGATGTAAGGGCTATGCTTCACCAAGTGCACGTTATTCCTATAAGCCATGATACTTTTTCAATGTATACGAGTACTGATAAACAGATTTAGCACACACACAAATTATAAAGGAGACATATCACCGTTAATTTTATCACACACACACACACACACACACACGCACACGCACACGCACACAAACACACTTCTCCTGAAACCTATATCGACCGTAACTCAATGGAACGAATACACATGACACGCTGTACACAGACTAGCATGCGATCAGCAGTTCTGCGACCATCCACAATTGCTACGCATTTTAGTTATGAGAGTTTTGGACACGTATTATGGTATAAGAGTTTATAGTAACGAATATACAGGGGTTCATAAAGGCTTGCTCAACTTGCATGACCAACTACAACGCTGACCCATACAAGTTATCAGAGTTTCTACCAACCGGATAGTATTCAAGCAATGACAAAACCAAATTCCTTCCACTAAATATACCTGTACATTGTGGAAATTCATACCCTGGTTCTTGTTATAACATAGCGAAGAGAGGGCATGCCAGTACACATGATATAATAACATCAACCATGATATGTTGGAGAAAACCATCACTATATACACGTGCATCTTATCAAGAGCGTATTAAGAAGCCCTTCTTAATGCGCTCTTGATCTTATGGTGCTGCAGGATTTTTCGTGTGCAATTAGTGTTATTTTTGAATCATTCATAAAGTGGGAAAGGGGACAATTTCCAGGCGCAAGAAATCAAGAGTGATAACAAATCTGTGTAACATTTGCAGATGGGATAGATTAATTTATACAGCTGTTAATGAGGTAACAGAAGTATATAATCTTACGAAACGCCAGGAAAAGTACGTACCAGAACATTCCACTCCGTTTACTGCCCACTCATGCCTAACAGCATGACCAGCAACCTCGTGATTTTATCTAAAATAACGTCCAGAGGTAATGGTACAACACTATAGATTGACACAAAAACACCTGCCCTCCCACTGCCCCACAACTGAATACAGATCTGCCAGTAGTAACAACCATTGTTTTATACATAACAATCTACCTCCTCAATACTAATAACTTACAAATACATTGCTACATAAATACAACAGAACCTGCCTAATAAGGAAAACAATGGTCAGGTTACTTAAAACTATTCCAACAGCAAAATAAATTGTGAAAGAAACCTCTTTTTCAATATGTATGTTTCTAATAACTGCCACTAGCACCGAAAACCACAGTATAATAATATTCTGTCAGGTCACAAGTAAAAATAGAATGTAAAGATGAGCCTGCGGGTTGAAGTCATGTCATTCAACCTGCCAGTATCCAATGAATCTGTAACAAGTCCATACAACAAAGACAAATACATAAGAAATTGCAAGAATGATAATGATATAAAAACCTTTCTCCCGACATGCTGTATAAATAACCTTGTCCAGTCTTCATAGAGCAAGGAGTTATTTTAATTTGCTGTTAGAGTAGTTTTGAGCTAAACTGATAAACTAAATTACTATACACCCAGCATTCTCCAGCTGCCACTAAACGAGCCCCAATTCCAGCCGTCGAATCCAGAGGCCCTTGCACAAGTATCTACGAATAACCATTCAAGTATGTTCTAACAGATGCTGTACAATAAACAGTGAAGTCCATGATAGGCATATTATATAATCGAAAGACAATGTACATATACACAGACAACTTACAACAGTAGAGTGGAAGGCTTTCAGATGACTGGCTAAAGCAGTACGGTGTTTATAAATTTATAAATGTCACGTGCCGCCATTAGGGAAAGCGAAAACGTTCAGAATACCAAAATGCACTTGCATTCACAAAAACAATATTATGATTTCACAGAATGCATATATATGTGAAGGTTCATTTTATAGGAAACTGCTGGCCACCTGAAAAATCATCACAGTGGATTTCGAGTCCCTTAGCGTATAAATGAGGGAGAGGAGGAATTAGGATAGCCGACTGCGTTTGTGTGTCGGCGAGTCCATGGCTACATCAGGTGATGATGATGCCCGTTTCCTAGCTTCTGTGTGCCTCTGCAGTTCTTCTGTGATGAATGCGTTTAGATCTGACGTGCGAGTGCGTGACTTGGTTGGGGTGTGAGGGCGACTACCATAGCCAACGCTGATATCTGACATGGCACCATTCAGTCCTGCGATGAGCGCAAAAGACAGTGTGAGTACCACAGACATGATCGCTCGGTCAAAGCATATATACATTTTAGGCCACACTTGTGCACGCCCTACACTTGTTGGCTATTAAATTTGCACGAAAGCAGAAAGTATTGAAAAAAGGTAAGAAAAAGTTGGTCAGCAGCATTTACCCTAAATTACATGATCACTGATAAACAAAAGTTCGATATTGCTGACAGTAATGAACGCAATCAAATGGATGCCAAGGCAAGTTTGACCAAGGAAGACGGTGAAAGCTTAAAGATGAGGAGCGTTTGCGAACTAGCCCACGTATTGACATACGGTAGATAAGAATATACAAATGAACACAGCTCTGTTACTCACACAATTTACCACAACGTACATTACGTATTCCTTAAAAATGGCAGAACTGCTACAAACATACCATGAATCTCAAGTGCTTCCCTAAACGTGTGAAGATCATGCTCGACATTAGTCGGGTTGTGTATCACTGTGTCTGGCACTGGAATGCGAGATGAGCCTCGATCTACTGTCATCATCCTTGGCGTTGCTCTCAACCTTGGTGGTGGGGGCGTTTTCCCTGGAAATGCCAATGTACAACATGAAGAAAATCATGGCTTCCTGTGTAAATTGGCTTCCTGTGTAAATTAATGTTGAATTTTCATGAAGATTACCATTAAAAAATTCAAAATATTAATTCTCAATGATTACGATATACAGACTTAATAGCACAGACAGCCGTATGTATAATATTAATCGATAAAACTGGCACAATTTGCAAGTACTGAATATCATGAATATCTATATCACACATGCATATATACCATGTATACCAGGAGTAGATAATAGAAAAGTAGTGTGACTTCAATAAACAAGGGAAATTCGTCATTTACTAGCCTTATAATACCTACGATTTACTATGCATAAGTTAACTCATCCAACTTGAGCTCAAATCGTACACAGTACATTCGCCTAGCATCGTGCGAAATCGTTTCCTCGTATACACCCGCAATCCGGAGATATAGACTAAAATGTACGACACGATTTTCCATTCTGCTGCCAGCAAACTTGATGCATTTTGCGCCGAAATTTAAACAAAAGGCAGCTACTAACCACAGATTGCTCTCTCGGCGAGGCGGTGTGGATTTTATGCAAGAGTCATAGCTAGCCAATATAAGATCAACCGCTTGTATCTACGATGTTCCTATGCCGAGATATAAAGCGATAAAATTCGAGTACTTCTAGATAATCCTAGCGCAATATCACACAGTAACACGCCTATCCTGCATTTAGTGACTGATAATGTTGCTTCTGGTCGCCGCTTGGAGCGCTGACTCGTTACCTCATTACTACAGAGTTTACTACAGCTAGTGTAAGAGTCAGGTCGCCATGGTGATGACCCACCCCTTACGCTAGCTGTAGTAATAGACTGGTACCCGTCCCTTCTCACACCCCCTGCTCGATATAGGGCGGGGGGTGTGAGAAGGGACGGGTACCAGTCTAGCTGTAGTAAACGTTGTAGTTTGAGTCATGGCTGCGACTGGAAATGTGGGACGAGATAGTAGAAGGAAAAGGAATGTTAAATCAGCAACACTATCGCAGGAGCAAGTAAATTATATTACAACGCATTTAAGACAAAAGAAGCAGGATCACAGTGACGAGTTTTATTTGGCTATATATATGATTCATCTCATTTATCAATGAACGACGGAAACATACGAGCTTTGTCGAAGCAACATTAGCAGTCACTAAACGCAGGATAGGCGTGTTACTGTGTGATATGGCACTAGGATTACCTAGAAGTACTCGATTTTTATCGCTTTATATCTCGGCATAGGAACATCGTAGAGACAAGCGGTTGATCTTATATTGGCTAGCTATGACTCTTGCATAATATTCTGGTAGAGAAGTGTCAAAATAAGGTAGGTAAACTTTATTCATTTTGCTGAAACGACACCATTGTTTTCCTATTTCAGCGTTGTACGCTCTGGGGTTAATGGGCTCTTGCTATTATCTACTCGCTATGATATATAGTAACCACACATGCTATATCTCATACCTGTTAAGAAAGCTACGAGGTCTTCTCTTCGTATGTGCCGCCGTCGTTTCTGTGCCCATGCTAGAAGCTCCTTTGTGCGACGCTGCATACCTGCCTGTACGCCTAGTTCTGCCACCCTTCTATGACAGTCTATGCTCTCTATAAGCAATGTAAGATACGGTGAATTACCAATTTATCTACTTCTTGGATTTTGTACTTACTAGAAATAATTGTACTTGAACAAGCTACAAACCCCAAGTCTGCAATCAAATCTGTGAAGTATCCATCTGCAGGTGTAATAAATAGTATTTTGAAAGTATAAGCATTTCATTGTCCTAAATCTCTCACTGACAAATAGAGAGCTGCTTTATAAATGTGATGAAACTGTTTAATTAGATTAAGAATCTGGACCCTGATCGATCTATATAACACTCACAGAATACGATTATAATGATTAGTGTAGTATTGCTGATTTTTTAGCGAGGAACAGGACCGTGATGAATGAGAAAATTGCACATTAGCATGCTGCTGCACTACCTAGTTTGTTGACCTAATAAGTAATGTCAGGGTGCAAAAACGGTAGTCCGGTAGTCAAAAATGAAAGTGTCAATGACACTGTAGCTCACCACAAAAAAGGACACAAATGAGTGAGTAAGAAGAAGTCAGTTTTAATTGAGCAACCATCGACGTACATTATAGAAACGATTGCCATCTGTATATCGCAATAATAATTTATAAACCAAAATGAATCACAATTTGTGACCGTAGATGGCGCTATACCCGCTTTGTAGCGATGGCGCTTGAAATAAATAGGTTATGCTGCGTTCCGACATGTTTTGTAAATCTTTACTCTAATATAGACGTTTTATTGGCAGAGTGGAGAGGAAATACCAATTTTGCATTAAAGATATTGTCAATGAAATCTTGTAAAACGAACCAGACGAGTGTGACACCACAGACTGTTTGTGTTTATATAATATGCTATATAATTGCCAAACCCTACCTAATTTGCATAATTTTTTTTTTAAATATCAAAACCCCTATTCATTCACATACGCAAAATCCGTTGAACCTGAACTGACTAATGGCAATTCCCATTTTTGCCAAAAAATTGCCGTGGCTC